CGTGGATTTGAGCCATATTGTTAACTTTACAAGCCACATTGGTAAATGCTGAGACATGATGTTTCATGAATGGCCATTTCATGGTATTAAAAAATCTCACGATTAGAAACTTTTTTAAAACCGAATGATACCCTTCTTTCGATCATAAAGTTAGAAGAATGCATAATGTTCTACCAAATCAGCAAGAAAAGGAATATTTTAATGCATGGTTTCCATTAAATATAATTAAATGATTAAGGGCACCGAAAATCAGTGCGAAAAATGCATGTTAAATAAGTAGTCATTTGTTACAGAGTATGGCTCTTGCATGCAGCCAAAAAAGGAGTTCTTTCGAAAGCCGGCATCCTGGGGTAACTGAATTATTATAGAAGTATGCTGCGGGATAATTAGTTTAACGACCCTACGTAATAAATCTTTTCGAAACAAAAACGCATTTCGGAATTTCGGTTGACATTTCACGAGTTAGCCCACCTACTGTACTCAGATTCCCTCAGCAGCGCAAGTATCACTGTCAAAAGCGACTGTTGTCGCTAACGGTTGTCATTGGGATTCCATTTAACTTAAACACTGCCTTATTCGCTAACCAAAAATAACATCGTCGAGAACAGATACATCTCCGTAGTCCACTTAACGTTGGACATGGGAATGAGGATCTCCCGTGGACTTATGTTAAGTTCCAGAGGATACTTATTCACGTGTCGTAACTAACAGATATTTAGTGTAAAGCCGACTGTAACGCTGGAATCCATATTTCCCAGCTGCGTTCCATTTAAACGGTATGTTGTCGTTTTCATCCCTTGGCGTTTCATCACTCTTCCCAAACGTTCCGGTCACAGAGACAGTCGAGTACATGTGCGAATTTCTGCCAACTAACCACCGGGAAGTAGGTATTCCGACGAACACACTCACAGAACGTGCTATCCGACGTCTTCATGGGCGAGTTGGGAAAGTTTCAGTTAAACGACTAAATCAATAAGCTAAGGCACTACGGTTGCTGCGTTGACGACTTCTCAGTAGTCACTAGAGAAACCAACATAACTACCCCTTTGAATGCTGTAAATCAAACACACTCGTCGATCAGGTTTACGTTGCAGGTGGAAACCGCAGACTCTCTGTCTTTCTTAGGCGTCCTTCTATGCAGAAGAGCTGACGGCAGCATTCGAAGAAGCGTCTATTGAAGAGTGACCCTGTCTGCAGTATACGAACTTCTGCAACTTCGCACTTCCTCAACAGAAATGTAATCTAGTCCGTTGTTTGGCGCAAAGGGCTAAGAAAATCTGTTCGGCAGATAGCGTTGACGAGGAACTTAAAAGGATCCAGGATCCGCTCCGCGAGAACGGGTATCCTGACAGATTTATTGCAATGAATCTTACCGATCGACCAGCAAAACTCATCGCACTGACGGCGGAAAAGAAACTCTATTCCTCAGAGTCTCCTTTCAGGGGACGCTGCGAGCGGACTCCTGAGAAAATGCTTTGACGAAGCCGTTTCCCAAACTTCCCCGGCAGCAAGAGTTCAAGTATTGTTCTCGACCAACCCTGTATTACGCAGGGAAGGTAAGGATACGCTAGCAACGGCTGTCATCAGGCAACGGAAGCCGGTTCTGTGTGCGTAGAAGAGCCTCTTGCAAGCTCTGCGTCTACCATGCTCAAAGATCGGTTAACTGCACGCATGTCTCCGCGCCCCTGCCCCCCCCCCTCCCCAGGTGACACGGCTCTGCCTAACTCTCACTGTCGCTCATTACCTCCTCACACCCTCCCCTTATTCACACGCCCCGCTTGTATGAAAAGGCGAACCGTAACCGATTTCTGTTATCGACAACACGTCTTATTTTGTACCCAATTCCCGCATAACTGTATCCGCTCGACGAGAATTTATCGAAAGCACGCGTTTGCTCGCCTTCCGAATCACTCAAAAGTAGTTATTTCCTATCACGCCGTACCACACGAAGGGTAGAGTCGGCTAGAATGTAATTTTAAGGGCGTTTAGCCTGCTAATAAAGGTATACGGCATGAGCAAACTGGCATATAAACGTTCCTCCTCAGACATGCTTCCAACCTTTTAAGATTGCTCCCTGGCCAACAGTCAGACGACCTGCATTGCTGGGAGAGAAGTTTAAAGTTAGGCGACCATCAGCTAGAACCAGAGACCCCAGGACCGGCAGCTACCCAGATTTTTGAATTTAGGGGTACTGAACTACCCCGGTGGATATAGAATCGTTCCACTCTAAAATCTTTCCAAATAGATCGGTGTATGCAGTCCACAGATAGAAAAAAAACATGTAGTTTCACGTCGTGTGGTACTGAGGGAAAACTGCGGCTAGCGACGGCAACAGCGGCAGCGGAAGATCCAAATATGCACGTGGGTGATCGGTGAAGGAGGTTCATCTAAGGACTACCTCGGTCTGACACAGGAATTCTGCTTGTTGGGTGTTTGCATGTAACACTTTTTTAGGCTGAGGACTGTTCACTGTCACCAGAGGAGGGTGGAACTAGATGACGGGAATGCTGTGCCTTCTTTTTAATAAATAAAATCTAAGCCTACCGCTTTCAGGTGTCCGGTCAAAAGTGACATAGAAGGGCATGTTCCTTCGAGCGGAGAATTTCCGCAGTCACATTGGTGATATTGGCAGCGCACGCTCATAGGCACTCTGCCAGATTTTTAGTCAGACTCTGGCAGAAACCAGATGCAGAAGGGAGGCGTCAATTTTAGAAGTGAAACGAGGAGCACACTTCCTCGTTTGGTTCGTTATCAGGAAATCAGTCACTACACTGCCTAACCGTTAACCATAAAAAGGACCAGATTGTTGTTCTCTCTCTCTCTCTAATCAACAATTCTCTTCAGTCTATCCCAAGGTCATCATGCTGACACAGTTTTCGGCGACAAACTTCTGATGCGAGACTTCAGGGCTGGCAACAGCGGTGGCCAAAATGACGGAACGTCGCAGTAGCACGTGCTTAGGATGAAAAAGCAACTGTCAGTTGTCCAGTGTGATCGATTCTCTTCTTGAAATGACTTGGATATATCGGGTCTTTCCTCCTATAAACGGGAGGTATAAGACACTGATAATGCATTCCAGATTTAAATAATCGCTTTTCAGGAAAAACCTGTGGCGGCCAGCCATCATGACAGGTCTGGCGTCATTGTTCAAGACCTCGCTGCCTCAAGGTCCTTCACCCCTTTGAAGTGGGTCTTTTCCAGACGCGCTGACCTGAAGTCCCACGACCGACAGCTCGGGCATACCAGCGTCCGCACATGCGCAGCTGCCTGTGCGGCCACTTGAACGCACCCCACCCACTCCAAACAGCAAAACAAGTCACTGGGACACTACCCCTTGGCAAATGCAACACACACTGACTGGCGACCACTTGAGCTTGGCCCACGAGCCTAAAAAAGCGGCTGCCACCACTGTCCCAGTGGACTCTCAGGCCACTGCCGCCTGAGAGGACAACTCCGGGTTCTGTGCACAATAAAACCCCTCCTTCTGGTGCCTTCTGTCTCTCCCCTTCCAACATGGGATTTGACTTGATAATTGTAGCTCACAGACTACACACTCACACAGCTTGGGCGCTACAAGGCAATTATTTCAGAACAGAAATTATTGCCTTCAACCTTAGTAAAATAGTCTACGAGCGAAATTATGCGAAGGCATTAACTTTCCCAGCCCCAAACACCCCTTTTTAATCATTTGATAGTAACCCCAGTCTACTTCAAATTTAATGCTGAAAGAAATCACATCTTTTGGTTTTAAAGTGTATACTCCAGTTTTCTGTTTTTAGCTGGCTTCAGAAATCAGTGCACCCATTTAGAGAAAAATCCTCGATAGAAGCGAACTGGCGAATTCTACGAAGCAATTCAGAAGAAGATGCGAGCGCTGGAACAAAAGTTTATTGGCCTGAAGTTTCTCATGCTCACTCGAACCCATCATCGGAGACAGTCGCAGATAATGGTATTGGAGGCATAAAGACTTCAGTATTTATGGTATGTAGCTGCCGCGGGACCACATGATCAGCGTTGGGGGTCGTAAGTGATGCGATGACGGCTTGTCAGTCTGTGTCCGAGTCGTTAATTGCCGCAATCTCATTATCTGTGTTGGATGCTGGCGTGATGGTGACTCGGAAACTTGACTTTCTGTCACTGGATTTGTTGCTCGTCCGCGCCCTCCCCAGGTGACTGATTCCCCTGCCCAGTGAATGTCTCAGCACTGAATATGTTACTAGGAGGTAATTGCGCTTATTGATGGACTGCTGGTCGGAGAACCATGATTCGAGCAGCTCGCGGTGCACGTGGTTATCAGCTCTTGCGAGGGCTATTGCAACTTAAAAAGATAGTCGGGTTCCGTGGAATGAGCTGCCACCTGAGAGCTAGCGTCCTCCCTCCTCGCCGTCGCTGCGCGCTCGGCCACCGGCGTCCGGAGTAATTTCCCAGTTTCTCCGGTGTAGTTGCTCTGTCCGAAACTGCACCAGATCCCATAAACGACTCTTGACGTTTTCTGCCGTGGCAGTGGGTCTTTCGGCCTCATGACGTGGCGCCTGATGGTTGCTCTCGGCCTGTGTGCAACCCCAATTCCAAGTGGAGTGAGAAGGCGTCTGACGGCTTCCAAGACGTCCTTCACAGGCGGAAGAGCTCGCCAGAATTTAGGACTGGTTGAATTTGGTCCCCGATGTCGTTCGTGTATGCTTTTGTTTACAAAGTTGTGCAATAGTCATTGGCCTTCCGTACTCCAGCAATCTTGTCCTTCTTTCCCCTGCGATACGTCTCAACGCGCCGGTATAGCGCCCTTACGCAACTGCGTTCGTAACTGATCGGGCGGTTTCTGTTGAAGGCCAGTACTTGCGTCACACTTATTACTTACCCGAGCACATCGGTTTTAGGCTGCCACGATCTTTGAGGCAGACGAGAATATCCAGGAAGGTCAGCTTTATAGTATGTCCAGGAGGATGGCGTTGAGACGTTCTTTGAACGTCAGCACCTGACCCCGTTCTATGATGACGGAGGTATCATCCACATACCGAGCCGATGTGGTGTCGAAAGACCAGCGACTCCAACCTTTGTAGAACATCCTCGACTATGAGTCCCGAAATCATTGGCGTGCACTTCATCTGCTCGTAGACTATTTTGTAGGACGCAAAGCGCGTCTTGAGACAGAACTTTGCGAGTTGGATGATTTGGATTTGTCCGGGTCGATTCTCCGTTCCATCGTATTTGTCTCTTAGGAGTAACTCGATAGTCTTGATTGCCAGGCCCTATGGAATAGAAATAAAAAGGGACGTGACATGGCATGAATACTGAGGATGCCAGTCCGTTCTGGGACTTCCCTGTCGGTGATCCTGTCTTGCCATCCGAGATTTAATATTCAACAAAGACAGCTGAGATGGAAATGGTTGTCTTTTGCCATTACTGGAATAGACGGTCCAGTTGCTGTGAAGACCAGTACTTGCGTCAAATTTATTGCTTAGCCGAACACATTGGTTTTAGGCCACCACAATCCTTGCGGCAGACGAGGACATACTGAAAGACCAGTCGGTTATTTTCTTCCTTCTCCATCGTAAATTGAATATCTGGGAAGACGGCGTTGAGACGTTCTTTGAATGTCAACACCTGATCCCGTGCGATGGCGACGAAGGTACCATCCAAATACCGAGCCGATGTGTTGTCGGAAGACCTGCGACTCCAACCGTTGTAGGACCGCCTCGGGTATGAGTCCCAAAACCAGTAAACCCATTGGCTTGCCCTTCATCTGTTCGCAGATTGTTCCGTCGAACATAAAGTACGTCTTGAGACAGAACTTCAGAAGTTGGATGATTTGGACCTGTACGTAGCGATTCTCCTTTTCATTGTATTTGTCTCGTAGGACTAGTTCAATGGTCTTGATTGCCAGGTCCTGTGGAATAGAAGCAAAAAGGGACGTGGCATCAAAGTATACCATGACGTCGCTTGGCAGGAGACTTACCCCTTTGAGTTTCTTCAAGAATTGTGTCGGTGATCTGACTGCAGTGTTCCACTCGGTGGTCAGAAACTTGAGACTTCGACACAGCCACTTTGCCATTCTGTATGTTGGAGTGCCTTTTAGTGATACGATTGGCCGGAGAGAAGCGCCCTCTCTGTGCACGTTTGGGAGAACGTAGAAACGGGTTAGGGCTGGTTCTTGCGTTCTCGCCATGTGTCGGTCAGTCGGTGATATTGCACCTGAGTTCTCCATTGCCAACATCGTTGCGTTGATCTCGTGTGTCAGAGTTATGATGGGGTTGGATTCTCCTGGGAAATAGGACTGACGAACCTCCAACAAGCTTTTAGCTTTCCGAATGTAGTCTGTCCTGTCCAATACGACCGTAGAACGCCCCTTGTCCGCAGGCACGTTAACGAGGTCGTTGTCTGCCCTGAGTTTGTTAAGCGCATCGCATTCCACCGAAAAAAACTGCTTCGGCTGGTGGGTTCCTGTCCAAATGCCCTTATCCATTTTCGAACCGAGTCTAAAAAGGTTTTCCCAAAGGATTGGCTCCATGTTGGCACATTACTTTCTGGAGAAATAAAAAAGCTTTTCATTGAAAACTGGAGTATACGCCAGAAAGAACATAGGAGAGGCTGGGAGAACAGCTGATGAGGTGACACCCGTGGAGCTGCGTCAAGTAGTGAAACAAAATGGGAGTAATACGTGTCCGAGCTTTTAACTGGTATCCTTGCTGGCAAACGTGCAAATGTCAGAAAGTACTGAAAATTCACAAGACAATGCTCATTGCCGTAGGCGGTGAGTCCGCCGCTGTCTCACGTGGTAAACATGGCTGATACTGCCGCACGCATCTGTTTACAAGGAATCAGACTCGCGTAGGATCTACCTCATCCCCTCTTCCTATACTCGCCGTTCTCTAGTGGCAAGGCCGATGCAATACAGCCCAGGGTCGACGTGAACGCTATGACCGACAAAGCCAATCAGCCCACCCGCGGCCGCCACACGCAGCATCAAGCGCCCAATTTCGTGAGTACTAGACCTCATCCAGGATGGGCTCGGATCACAAGCATACGGGACTGCCACAACGGCCACATTAGGATAGAAGTCTGCCAAAGAGGCTGAGACGAATTACGAGGTCAAGTTCCTCGATTTCCCACACAGACAAGAGCATGAGCCTATCCAACTTCAGCGAGAGGCGCGCCTTGCTGAACTATTGAACTGGTTCATCAATCTCTGTGCGATGTATTCTTAAATGACTGGTCGGGTCGATTTGCGAGGTGAATGTGCGATCTCAATGAGGACAGTTTGGGATCGAGTCCACATCGCTGTAGGTGGGCGTGTTGATAATGATAGTTGTAGGTGCCGCGACATTAGATGTCGTCCCATCGTTGGGGGAAATGCGAGAGGTCAAGGTGTTGGTGGAGCTGGTCGCAGTGGTCTTTTCAGGGGTTGGGGTAGGGCGGGTGGTGCCGGAGAACGATGGTAGCGGGGCATCACCGGTGACGGGAGCGGTCGCAATCGTCGATGCGGCGTTTAAGACAGGGGTGATAGTAGCGTTGTTCGTGGGAGGAGAAGTTGGCGTTGCTGAGTTGTTGGTGCATTGTTTCCGAAGACCTCCTACGAGGCCGATTCGTGCGCAAAATGTGCGCTGGCAGCGCCCCCAACTTCGTGCGTACCAGCTCTCATCCAGGATGGACTCGGATCACAGGCAAGTAAGAGTGCCGCAACGGCCGCATTAGGATAGAATCACTGTAACCAACAGGGAGTATTGAGCGCGAACAAATTACCATGTAAGTTAACAACCTTCGAAGTTGCTAAGCCTGGGTCGTCTTGGTACGTTAAGACGTCTCAAATATGTTTTAACGAGGTTCGCATTGGACTCAATAAGCGAAACTGGTACACTTCTTGTCGGAGGCTATCATGACCATGTCTAGCGTCCTTCCTCAAGGCCCCGTTGCGTCAAGGTTATTCACCGTCGCGGCGAGCGGTTCCAGACGCGCTGACATGCCACCACTCGACTGACCACAACTCAGATGTGCGTGCGTCCGTACAGGGTCGCAGCTGCCCACGGGCCACTTGAACACACCACCCCCCTGCGGACACAACATGAGCCACCACCCCTCGGCGAATGCCATGCACACCGACTGGACACCACGTGAGCAGGGCCCACAAACCTACAAAAGCGGCTGTTACCGCTGGCTATCGAGCTCTCAGGCATGACTGGATGCAGGCAACGCCAGTCCTGGCTTCACCAGAGGTCCCTGCCGCCTGAGAGGACAACTCAGGCTTCTGGATGCAATTAACCCCTCACTCCGGTGCCTTCTGCCGTTTCCTACAACTCGAGACTTGAATTGACGATTGCAGCGTTCTGAGTACATTCTCAACGTTTAGACGCTACGCACTCGCCCCTTGCAGTCAAAAGTCTCCTAATTTACATTTTTCAAGGAAGCACTGTTTGAAGTACTTTCTATATCAAATGACCGCAGTGGCCCGTTTTATCTATGGATTTTTGCGGAAGAGAAAGAAACCACGTCTTATGGTCAGCGTGGGAATGCAGGAAGAGGTAAAAACTTCAAAAATTATGTATTTTTCCGAATCGAAAAGGATAATTATTTCCTGGTCAAAAAACTCATTCTGACTTAACGCGTTTCCCTCAACCATTTGCTGAAAAATAGAAGTAAATAAATTTATTTACAGTTGCAGTTACAAAAAATTACGAGTATGCATTTTAGCAGTTTCAAACATACTTACATTACTTACTCGCTGTCCCTAATCGTCCATAATTCATACAGAGTGATCATGGAGTTCTTTTTCAGCTCTAGATGTCGCTAGTGCAAATGAACAATTAGTTCTCTCCTGTGACGTGTTAGGAAAGCTTAATTTTAGCCTGACGGCAGACACAACAAACCTCTTCCTTTGCTGTCGGATCTCGCAGTCGAAGGATACAAACAAAGTTAAAGGGAGCGAGACTTAAAAGGATAAAGCAATTTAACTGTTTTCCAACAGAAGTGAAGAGACGAACCCCAGGAAGAAATTGTGAAGAAGGAGACACTATCCCTGGAACAAGGGATTATTCGCCTAACTTTTCAGATGGCTGCTTGAACCCATCATCAGAAACAACAACAGATACGGGTAGTTTGTTATGACAGCTGCTTGGGCCTGGGGGTGCTTGCGTTATCGTCCATTGGCCCCCAATTTATCAACAAGTACAACGACCACCTTTCATATTCGGTGCTGAAGCTTAACCTAGGCGGAGTAATTAGCCACATGTTAACACTTTTACCAACTACAGGGTCGGTGGGCCTGATAGCCAATCAATTATCACACCAGCATCTTATGCCCCTGATGAAATTGCAACCATTAACTACTTGAATGTCGGCCATCGAACAGTCATCACACCAGGTGTAATAATCCCTGATGAAGGGGGGACCCGTGACTTTTCATAGGTACAGTGCGTGACCTATCTCATGAAATTTTGGCTGAAATTCTGAAATGCGTTTTCCATTAGGAAGGATTACTTGGTCGCGGTTGCGATACTGATTATCTTAAGGCATACTCTTATAACATTTTGGACTCGGCAGGATGTCGGCTTTTAAATGCACTTCTTTTCAATCTCCTGTAGAAAGGGTGCTCGGCAAAAAATGACTACTTAAGTAGCATGCATTTTTCCCATTGATTTTCGATGGTCCTTGAAATTCAAATATATTTTATAGAAACCAGAAACAAAAATATGCCTTCCTTTAGTCAATCAATAGAGAATCACGTCTCCTTTATATTTTATACTTAAAGAAGGAGTATAATTAGGTTTTTAAAAAGGTTTCTAATTGCCGAAAAATTTGGGCCTGATCATCCGTTGCATTAGCGCTTAGTGATTATACTTTACAAGGTGCATGCGTTCCGCATAAAGAAAATCCCATATTTTTCTGTCATTAAGGAGATATCATACAGGGTCCATAAAATTTTGCAATGGATGCGGACCATGTTGTACATTTCATGAGGAGCAGTGGTAAACGGCCAGGTACGATGCTATGTGAATGGACATATCACGGTCTTAAAAAGTCTCATAATTAGAAACTTTTTTAAAACTTAATTATACTCCTTCTTTAAGTATAAAATATAAAGAAGACGTGATTCTCTATTGATTGACTTAAAGAAAGCCTATTTTTGTTTGTGGTTTCTATAAAATATATTTGAATTTCAAAGACCATCGAAAATCAATTGGAAAAATGCATGCTACTTAAGTAGTCATTTTTTGCCGAGCACCCTTTCTACAGGAGATTGAAAAGAAGTGCATTTAAAAGCCGACATCCTGCCGAGTCCAAAATGTCATAAGAGTATGCCTTAAGATAATCAATATCGCAACCGCGACCAAGTAATCCTTCCTAATCGAAAACGTATTTCAGAATTTCAGCCAACATTTCATGAGATAGGTCACACACTGTATGCGGTATCATGGCAACTGCATTCTATAAATGCTGCACCCCCTGGTTCATGAACTGCCGTATCTGCTATCGTCTCTGATGATGGCTTCGAGAAAGAATCCGAAACGTCATGCGTATAAAGCTCTCGTGACCTCAATCGTGTCTCCTTCTTCACAATCAAACCGCTTATAAGTACTTCTCCCTCCCCGCCCTATTAGTAGGCGGTCCTGCGTTGAGTTCCAGGGGAGTCAGGGTTAGGAGTAGGATTGGTTTTAGCGTTAGGGTTGGAGGGGTTAGCGTTAGGAGTACGGCTAAGTTCAAAGCCAGGACATGAGTATAGGAGCCCATCCCGGAATTCAGCATAAGGACACCTGTAGTTCGGGGGGAGATATTTATTCTCGTGTCTAGCCACGCGTCATGTAGAGTGTTCCTCGGTCTGTTCACGTAACAGAAGGAAGATCTAAGATCGCAAACGAATCTGGATATGGGCGTTTTACTAGGGTAAGAGCTATGCGCGCTTATATTGTAACGCGTGGAAACTGTCGCGTGGAATTTGTCTCAGTTGAACATCGGTTGGTCTACCTTACTCGCCAAATACCAAATTTGGACACGTTAGATTCTTCTTGTATTTAGTTTTCAGGGGCTCGATACATGGTGTTTCCTCATACTTGTAAAAGT